AATTAGATACTACCACAGACAGGCGGCGCGTTTGACGCTTCCTTTGTCATAGGGCTTGGGATTGTTTTCGTTATAAGCGATTTCGTCAGTAGCGCGTGTAGCGGGCACACGCACGCGCGACAGTGTACGTGCACACGAGCCGCAGCGCGGCGCTGTAACGTCCCACCGCACGCACGCACGCTGTCACGGTCACACGCACGCCAGTGCCACGTGTACGTGCACACGCACTGTACGTGTACGTGCACAACACACGCACGCACGTGCACCTGGCACGCACCGCTCGCACGTGTAGCGTCGCACACGCAGCGCAACACCGCGCCGGTGTATGTACAGAACGCACGACGCCGCACGGTACGCGACGTGTTACGTGCACAGCACACGCACCACAGCGTGGCAGCATGCACGCATGCACCGTGTACCGTCGCACGTAGCGCACGCACGCACGTGTAGCGTCACACCACGGTCCACCGGTGTACGTGCAACACGCACCGCACGGCACGCCGCGCGTGTACGTACTACACGCACGGCACGCCACGCTGTACGTTGACACGCACCGCACACACGCACGCCCCGCAGCGCAGCACACGTGTACGTACTAGAAAGAAAAAAAAAAGAAAACCGCGCGCCCCCCCGCCTACGCAGCGCACGTTGTACGTGCAACACGCACAACGGAGCGGTGTACGTGCAGCACAGCGCACGTGTACGTGCACACACGCACTGTGTAGCGTGCACACACCACGCACGCCACACGTGCACCATGCACGCAGGCAGCGCACGGCACGTGTACCTGGCACACGCACACACGCACGCACGGTTACGTACACACGCACGGCACGCTCACGGTTAGCGTACACACGGCGCGCACGCACGTGTACGTGTCGGGCTGGCTTTCATGAGTGTTGAATGCAATCATCTAAACGAAAATGCTGGAACACTATCACATGTCCCCAGCTCATGTAGAACGACGCTAGAGCGCAGCCATACTCGCGTTTTAACATACAACCGAGCAGGCGTCAGTTTGCGCTTTCCTTCACCTCGCGCTATGTCGGCCCAGTGTGGATTGGTTTATGGCCTAGGCACGGGCCGCTTCAACACGCCAGCAGCGCACAGATGGCGTAGTGGATTACCTGGAATTATCAACATTTGTGTACGGCAGGTGCTACGCTGCGTCGATCCGAACTCGCACCTACCGAGCTTCTGCGTACGTACTTCGTAGAACATCCGCTGTACGCAACTGCACTTTACGCAACTTGATGAATCCGGGCTCCAGGGGCTGGAAATGCCAAATCTTCTGCCTGACAACGTTCTATCTTGGCTGCGCTCTTTTCGACTCGTCTCCCATGTTTCTACAACCCGCTAAATGCTAATCTCTTTCATCTCGCCGCACTCGCCCATCCGCCCTTTCTTCGCTAATCACAATTCTGTAAGATTTTAAAATAAAAATACAAGAAAAAACTAAACAAAGATTGGCGTCACAAGGCAAGGGCAGGCACGACGCTTCGACGACCTTGCCTCGAGTGCGGTCTTGGCAGGCTTGATGACGTCGTTGTCGCAGGAGAAGATCTCGAAGCAGTGCGTGCTTGTTGGGGGCGTCCTGCACCTCTCTCACGGCTGACGCTCTCCTAGCGGATGATGCCGCCGGCGGCTCCTTGTCGCTGATAAACACACCAACGTGGAAATAACACAAGACGTGCAGCGCTGACGCCGCCTCTAAGCAGTAAGTGATGCCTGGCGCAGCTTCTTGTGCCTGCCATATTAATATATATTATGATTATGACGACGGACGTACGATGATTATGACACGATGACGATGATGATGCATTATGACGACAATGATTAATGAACAACAACGATGACGACCGATGACATTTATGATGAATTATGATGACAACGATGACGACGATTGACATTTTATGGTGAATGGTGACGATGGATGGCGCGGGGAGAGGGGCGGTTGGCTAACGTTGCTACTCACGCGTTGTGAAGCTCCGAGAGTAGTAGAGACAGTTGTCGTTGAGGATGAACCAGCGGCGCTTCCAGCTGCTTGTAGCGACCGCTCTGTAATAACACAGGCCATGCACTTAACAGACGTGTTCACAGAGAGAGAGAGAAGGGCAGGGGCAGGGGGAGGGGGGGGGGAGGCGAAGAGAGAGGAGAGAGAGGGAGGGAGGGGAGGGAGGGGAGGAGAGAGAGGTGTGGCGAGAGAGGGAGGGAGGGGAGAGGGAGAGAGCGACGCTTCAGCTTTTGTAGCGACTACCGTGCAAACACACAACGTTAATCACAGAGATGGTTCACAGCTGGGGAGGGAGGAGAGAGAGAGAGAGAGGAGAGAGAGAGAGAGGGGGAGGAGAGAGCGAGAGAGAGAGAGAGAGAGAGTAAAGGGGAGAGAGAGAGAGAGAGAGAGGAAGAGTCAAAGCAGAGGGAAGACGGCGCTTGTCGCAGGGTTCAGGGGGGGGGGCGTCAAAGACCTCATTGGGGGTTACGTGTAAATATACATGACAATATATCATATATATGTTTTAATATTATATATATTATATTAGTATAATATAATAATATAGTTAAGACTTATACAGGAATGGCAAGTAATGTGGCTGACGTTAAAAATCTGCGCTAACGAGCAACAACTGCACTGTTAAGCAGGCGACAAATGATATATCGGCTCTTATATTTTCCGTTACTCACACCTATTGATATCATTACTTGCTGCACATTAAAGGTTTCCGTAGATGAATGAACATACATGAAGATAGCATGAATATATATGCAGAAGTAGATAATAGGGATATGGAGTAGATAATTCCCTATTATCTACTCCTGATATATATATATATATATTTCATATTCATACATTCAAGCACAAACTCATTCGTCCGAAGCAAAACGTAACAACAAAATGTTATCAACGTTATAAAAAACCGTTACGAACGACGGTATCGCTACATTAATTACTTTGCTACATTAAGTAGCACGTAATTAAGCAAATATAAAACGTACGCGTGACGGAAGCGTTATACAAATAAATCCTGCCTACTTATTGAATCACAACAACAACCTTCTACGACAACGAATGCAAGCGATGGAGGCACAGATTAAGCCGACGGATTGTACGATCGTACAAATAAATAAACAACGAACATTCGTAATACTAACGAACAAATAATTGTTGAAGGAATACACGAATTATCGCGGATTGACTAAAAGTAGAGTCCCTTTATATAGAGGACCTCTCTCTATAAAGGGACTCTAACTAAAAGCAGGCAGGTACGCCATCTACCGGAGATACCACTTATTAACACAGAGCTCGGCAAACGAGGTGGTGTCTGAGGTAGGAGGAGGGAGGTGGAGGGAGAAGGGAGGATAGAAGCAGGGAGAAAGAGAAAAGGGGAGGGAAGAGGAGACGGAGAGGGAGAGAGAAAAGGACAGTGCAGGGGAGAATGGAGGGGAGAGGCCAGGAAGAGAGGATGGGAGAGAGAAGAGGAAGAAAGGGAGAAAGGAAGGGAGAGGGGAAGGAGTCCAGATATTACTTGGTAGAAATAAGAGGGAACAGGCAGGCTGCACACGTGACGCTACTGCACCAATCACCAGCCGACTAGCTAGGTGCATGTTCCCTTTGGCCCGCCACCTATAATATCTCCTGTTCGCCATGACGCATGCGCAGCACTGCAGAGTTGGGGGGGGGGGGTAAGTGAAAAATAGCAAAATTTTCTCTTGTGACGTATCGTTTTTATTTTTCTCTCAGTCACTTTTCTGTGACACATTAAAGTCAGTCGTACATGTGCAAAATACCGAATCGATTCTCCAAAAACTAGTCAACGATTTCGGTAGTCATGATTTCGATTGATTGGGAGGGTGGGCAGATGGGTGGGTGGTTGCTACTACTGCTGCTGCTGCTGCTGCTACTACTGTTCCTGCTGCTACTAATGCTACTACTGCTCCTGCTGCTACTGCTGCTGCTGCTACTACTGCTGCTGCTGCTGCTACTGTCGCTGCTGCTGCTGCTACTGTCACTGCTGCTGCTACTGTCGCTGCTGCTGCTGCTGCTACTGTCACTGCTGCTGCTACTGTCGCTGCTGCTGCTGCTGCTACTACTGCTCCTGCTGCTACACTGGCGTGCTGGCTGCGCTGCAGCTACTGCTGGCTGCTGCTGGCTAGCGTTGCTGGCTGCTGCTACTGTCGCTGCTCGGCTGCTGCCTGCTGGGCTACTGTTGCTGCTGCTGCTAACTGTTGGCTGCGTGCTGGCTGCTGGCTGGCGTTACATTAGGCGCAGGAAAAACGTCAAATCAGCGATGTCACCACCAAGCACGCATGTTAGTAAACGCGTAACCGTTAGTATACAAACAAACACACACACACACACACACACACACGCACGTGCAAAGCGCCCGAATGAAAGAAAAGCTGAAAAGCCCAGCAGGCTATTGTAACCATGCTACTGTACTTGGGGCCTAGCTACAGGTGCGGCGAGTAGGCATTCCCGCGGCACGCGCGCCTTCACTTACCGCCTGCGTCGCCCGGGGCGAACGGTAGATAGGTGCAGAAAGAGATGAAAAAGATGAAGAAAAAACAAGAACAAAGAGTGACACACGAGTTAAGAAGACGCGAGTTGTCCGTCATACGGTACAGTGCAGTACAGTACAGTACAGTACACTACAGTACATTACAGTACAGTACATTACAGTACAGTACAGTACAGTACAGTGTAGTGTAATGCGCACGCGCGAGACAAAGTTGACGAATTAGCGTGTAGAAACATTAGACCTCGTGTCATATAACAGTGTAGTGTAGTGCGCATGCGCGTGCGGCATGTTACAAGTGTGTTGTCGTGAGATAGCAGCGCGCGACAGACCAAAATACCCAATTTTTCTCTCACTGCACCGGAGATAGTGAGAGACTGTGTGCGTGTGTGTGTGTGAGAGAGAGAGAGAGACATTCAATGGCCACCCATGGCCTGTAACAGTGTTAGTTTCGGCGAAAGTGTTAGAGAAACTTCGAGCGACAAAAGAGAGTGCGCAAAGAGAGAGAAAGAGAGAGACGCGGTGCACTACCAGTATCAACCCAACCAGCGATATAATACGGTAGGATTCTTGCTGAGAGAAAGAGATGTTAGCTTTTCTTCACGCTAGATGGCAGCAGCTACTAGGTTGCTGGAGTTGAGCAGACGATCGATTCCCGCTGGAGAAGCAATCTAGGAAAGCAGCATGCGGGCGCGGTACGTGTGCGGGCGGACCACCCTCCATCCATCCCTCCCGCTCCGAACGTTCTAACCACTAAGATGCTCCATTTGCTTCTACAGTTCTGCTCTCCCTTCCCCTTCTCCCTCTCCCTCATCATCCCTTGCAGCATACATCCCGACTGACCCTTCTCCTTTCTCTTACACTTCTCTGCAACATAGATACATGCATGACCCTCCCCCATCCCTCTAGCTCCCTCCCACCCTCCCCTGCAGCACAGACCCATGACCCTAACCTTGCTTTTACAACTAGTCCTCTCTCTTCTCGCCCTCCTTCCCTCACCATCCCTGGGATCCCTCCCACCCTCTTCTGCAGCACAGTCGAGTGGTCCTTGATTCCACAGCCAACCCACCCTCTCCTCTCCCCTCTCCTCTCCCCTCGCCTCTCCCCTCCCTCCCCTTGTTTCCACAGCCAGCCCCCTCTCCTCTCCCCTCTCCCCTCCCACTCCCTCCCTCCCTCTCCTGCAGTATAGACACACAGCCCTCACCTTGCTTCCACAGCCAACCCTCTCTGTCGGGGTTGAAGAAGGTGTGCATGAGATCGTTGCCATCGTCCTCGGGAATCTTAAACGGCTCCTTCTTGATGCTCTCATACAAGCTCTGAAAAAATCGCAAAAAGATTTCATTAATCGACATTTTGAAATGAAAAGTGTGTGTGTAGTGTGTGTGTGTGTGCGTGCGTGCGTGCGTGCGTGTGTGTGCTCCTCCTCCCCCTCCGTACGTACAGTGAGTAACTTTGCTGGCAGGTCACCACCCTCCTCCTCCTCCCTCTCCTCCCCCTCTCCCTCCCTCCTCCTCCTCCTCTCCCTCCTCCTCCCCCTCTCCCTCCCTCCTCCTCCTCCCCCTCGGTACGTACGGTGAGTAACTCTGCTGGCAGGTCGCCGCCGTCGTTGATGCCGCGGTTCATGGTTATGAATCTCTCCACCCTCCTCCCTCCACCCTCCTCTTCCTCTCCCTCCCCCCTCCTCCTCCTCCCTCCTCCTCCTCCCCCTCGGTACGTACGGTGAGTAACTCTGCTGGCAGGTCGCCGCCATCGTTGATGCCGCGGTTCATGGTTATGAATCGCTCGACGCTCGGCTTGTCCTTCACGGCCGGGTTGTGAAGACTCGTGTTCAGCATGATGACGGCGAAACTCAGCACGTAGCACGTGTCTGAAACAACAGAAGAGCATCCGCGATGGTGAGCGAGCGTCGGAAACACGAGAGCATCCGTGACGGTGAGCGCGCGTCGAAAACACAAGAGCTTCTGCGACGGTGAGCATGTCGGAAACACACGAGCATCTGCGACGGTGAGCAAACGTTGGAAACACAAGAGCATCCGCGACGGTGAGTACACATGTCAGAGACACAAGAGCAGCCGCGACGGTGAGCATGTCGGAAACACGAGAGCATCCGTGACGGTGAGCGCGCGTCGAAAACACAAGAGCATCTGCGACGGTGAGCATGTCGGAAACACACGAGCATCTGCGACGGTGAGCGAACGTCGGAAATACAAGAGCATCCGCGACGGTGAGTACACGTGTCAGAGACACAAGAGCAGCCGCGACGGTGAGCATGTCGGAAACACGAGAGCATCCGTGACGGTGATTGCGCGTCGAAAGCACAAGAGCATCTGCGACGGTGAGCATGTCGGAAACACATGAGCATCTGCGATGGTGAGCAAACATCGGAAACACAAGAGCATCCGCGACGGTGAGTACACGTGTCAGAGACACAAGAGCAGCCGCGAGGGTGAGCGAGCGTTGGAAACAAGAGAGCATCCGCGACGGTGAGCGAACGTCGGAAACACAAGAGCATCCGCGACGGTGAGTACACGTGTCAGAGACACAGGAGCAGCCGCGAGGGTCAGGGTGCACGTGTATATTAAACACACATCTCGCACATCAGTACACTTTCGTATCACAGCTTACCTATACAGGTAAACACACCTGTACGACACCTACATACCTGTGGAGGTGAACACGCCGGGGTTGCACTGGCAGTAGCGCTGTGCGAACGCTTCCATCATGCGATCTATCTTCTGCGCCTCTCCAGGCAGACGGAAGCTCCAGAGGAACTGTCGCAGAGCCTGCACGAGGATCATGTCCGCAAACTCATGCAGCTCCACGAAGTCATGCAGCACCTGCAGGTTGAACTCGTGCCTGCGGGTGACGAGGCGATCGATAATCAATAACTGATCAATAACTAATCAATGACCGATTAATGACAGATCAAAAACTAATCAACAACTAACTAATGACTGATCAATAACTAATCAATAACTAGTCAATGATAAAAAATTGATCAATAACAGATCAATGCTTGATCAATAGGTAATCAATGACCAATTGCAACACAACAGCTGTGTTGTCGCTGCCTTACCTCCGAGGTATTCAATAGGTAATCAATAACCAATCGCTGCCTTACCTCTCTCCCAGGTATTCTCCGATGGCCGTCTTGTTGAGGCCCTCTCCCTTGAAGAGGAACTGTGCGACGTCCTCCTTGCAGTTCTGCAGCAGCCCGTGTTCAATGAGGTACTCAATGCCCTGTAGTGTACGACACGGTAGCGTGAGCACAGGGTGAGAGCACGGAACGCGCGATACGACACAGGGTGAGAGCACGGAACACACGATACGACACAGGGTGAGAGCATGGAACGCGCGATACAACACGGGGCGGGAGCATGGAACGCGCGATACAACACGGGGCGGGAGCATGGAATGCGCGATACAACACAGGGTGAGAGCACGGAACACACGATACGACACAGGGTGAGAGCATGGAACGCGCGATACAACACGGGACGAGAGCACGGAACGCGCAACATGACATGGAACTTGAAGTTCTGCAGCAGCCCGTGTTCAATGAGGTACTCAATGCCCTGTAGTGTACGACACGGTAGCGTGAGCATGGAACGCATGATACAACACAGGGTGAGGGCATGGAACACACAATATGCCCTGCGAGGATACAGCATGGAGCGAGCATGGAGCACACGATATGACATGGTGGCGTGAGCATGAAACGTGCAATACGACACAGGGCACGAGTATATAGAAGGCTACGGATAGACACGACACAGGCTGCCACCACGGAACGCCCTGTGATGCGATATACATGACCTGTTAAAATGGACCATTCACGACCGCAATACGAAACGTATGTACGCACGACAGCCATCGTCGAACGCGTAACGCAATGCGTGCCAATTAACTTGGAATGATGAAGATCATCTGTCTTCTTCAAGACGGAAGAAGACGATGATGCACCACGCACGCGCGCCGCCGCGGCCAGCACGGCTACGCCTGGTACACGGACTGGATACTATCGCTGATACGCGTGTATGCATAGCGCCGAGTTGCTGAGCTAAACCAACTTTATCTTGATTAGACAGACAGACCACGCGACCGTGCTTCCGCAAAACCCTGACCCTTCTGTGAAGCCTTAGCGGCAGCAGCAGCGGGAGGAAGAGTAGTAGTA